CTCCCTCACATCTGCCCACCAGCCCCTCAGTTCTCCAGATGACTCAGAATGAGTATCCCCCAGTACAGTCATCTGGCCTCTTAACTGGCCCCCCAATGTATAGCACGCATACTGCTCTGTGCTGTGTTTACTGCTCTGGGGCTGGGACACTTGGCCTATATCTTCCTGCTTATTCATCCATCTTCTCATCTTTCAAAGTTCAGTGAAAGCTTCTTTCTTCTTGAAACTTTTCAAGGCAAATGTAGTCTGATTTCTTCCACTTCTGATGGTAATCATAGTTGTCTTTACACATTCTAGCACTTAATTATGTTGTTCTGTGCTGTTTCTCTTAAGCTTCAAGTATGTAAACTTACTTTCCATCCTAGATTAGATCCTTGAGGGTAAGGTAGGATGCTTTGTTTGTGTAATTGGGAGCACAAAGCAGATACCCCCCCAAACACATGCCTAAGTAAATTGCCTTTGGTAATGGCTGTTTTCAGGGAATTTTCCATTTTGGTGCATCTTGAGCCTCAATTATTCATGGTAGACATACTTTTTAAGAGTTGCTTTTGAACGCAAAATTGCGGATGGAGAATTGGAAGCTACTTGAAAGATACTTGCTTATAAAATTATACTTCTTTTCATGTTGGTAAGGAATCTGCTCGCAATGTGGGAGGCCCGGATTCAATCCCTGGGTTGGGAAGATACCCTGGAGTAGGAATGGCAACCCACTCCAGTATTCTGGCCTGGAGAATTCTGTGGACAGAGGAGGCTGGTGGGCTACAGTCCACAGGGTCGCAAAGAATCAGACATGACTGAGTGACTAACACACTTATTTTGCATTTCATTTTACTTTAAGATTAGAATTAATGGACTATCCATTCCTAATTCAGTATCATAGTGTAAAAATATTTATGAAATATGCTACTTTCTTTTTTTAAGTATTGACAAGTTACTTTTTCCCCACAGTGTTTTTTCTTGATTATGGTTTTTTTTTTCATTATTTCTTTGCAAAATGAAAATGGGAAAATACTGAAAAACACTAGAAAAAATTACCCTGCACTACCACCACTGAGAGATAAATGTTACCATTCTGTTATGTGTAAACTCAGTTTCTTCCTATGTTTATATAAATACATTCCCCTCCTCTAAGTTTCCTACTTTGTAATTCTTAATGTTTGCTTTCCAGCTTCCCTGAAAGGGTTCCAGAACACCTTAGAAGACCTTGAGGAAGAGTGATAAAGGCAAGTATTCAACTTGTTAATGTCAGTGAAATAATTTGGTTCATAGCCAAACCTCACCGTGTCTATCAAGAAAACTAAAAAGTTGGGAGTAACACCTTAAAGGAAAAAAAAAAGAAAGATAGTTCATATATAATTTGAGGGTTTTTTAAAAAAACTGTTGTAGAAAATTGTTAAAAATTCTGAGAATTTAACAAAGTTTTCTGAAATACCTGGTTTGTTGGTGGCTACATTTCCTCTTCGTTTCACCCCTTTCTCCTGCCCCCTTTCTCCCATATCCTTTTGTTCTCTTTTCTCTTTACTGGTTTCCTCAGGCTTACTTAGAAGGACTTTACTTTTCAGAGAAGCCCTGTGAATAAAAGAGAAGCCAACATTTCCTCCTTATGAAAGAACACTTAGCTTTACAGTTGAACTTGTTCGTGTTAAACCAGAGATCGGAATACGGTTGTTTGGGAAGTTTTATAAGCTGAACAACAGTTATTATTCATTTGAATTTTACTACTGTCTTACAGAAGAAACTAGGGGGGATCCTAAAAAACATTCACATTATTGAATTATTTTAGTGTTTGCTTTCTTCCTGTCACAAGTTTTATATAATGATTATAGCATTATATTTTGCAGTCGGTGCAACAGGTTGTTTTTCAAAATTCTTATCTAACAGTTTGACGCTTAAAGCTCAGTTTAGGTTTCTTTGGTGTTCTGTGTTAGGTGAGCTCCTGTTAGTATCATGAAGATGTGTTTTGCCTTTGAAATCCCAGAATTTACTACTCCTCTACTGGGTAATCTGTGTAGCCTTGTAGATAGCCTGTGCAAGCTTTGGCTTGTAAATCAACACTCTGTTTCTAGGTTTTCCTCCAAATGCTGGCATATCCTTATAATTCATCATTCTTTTGAATTATATGAGAATAAATGATATAGATATGCTAATGAAATCTCAAATGAAGATACTGACATTTAAAAATGTACCATATTCTCCATTTTTTAAAACCAAGAAGCAGGTGACCACCTGATTAGTTTATAACGCTGCCCAATGAAGCTGGTCTGCTGAGTAATAAATTCCTTGTATGTTTATATATGAGACAAGTAGATTTGGTTTAGTTTTCTAACGAACCTTGACACCATTCCTCTATGGTATCTTTTACTCTCATGGGAGAAACTTATTTTATATATTTTACTTTCAAAAACAGCAGCAACAAAAAATCTGTTGTATTATTTAGCTAATGCAATATAAATAAGGAGAAAAGTAAATTACTTCCTCATTATCAGCCTGCTGCTATCAGATCCTTCTGTCTTCTCAGGGTCTAAATATCGCAGTGCATGAAGAGGTTAATTGATATAATTACTGGATTATCTTGGTTACATAGCCCTTTTTGTCTGAGAAGCTCAGTGCTTTGCAGAGTGAAAATAATTCAATAACTGTTAGTCTGCGCTAGAAACTCATGAGGGAAGGTCAGGATAATTAAATACATATAATATTGACAACATTTTTGCCCACAAGGAGCCCTAGAAAACTCTATATAGCCCGAAACAGTTGTTTATGTCGGAAGGATTAAGGGCCTCGCTTTTGGCTCTCCCAAAGGGAAAAGGAAAAATAAAAGCAACACAGAGTCAGGAAAAGGGTGAGAGGCCCCAGTGGTGTGGCCGGTTTTCGGTGCAGCCACAAAGAATTTGAGTGAAAAGCAGTGAAATTTCCCATCTTCGTGACTGCTCCTCATTTACCTAGTTTGGGAGCAAAGAATTTTGTGGTATTTAGATAGTATGAAGGTACTGGTTAAAGGTCTTTAACCCTATCAACATGGTTTATGCTCCTGAGTCATGAAGAGGTTAGGAGATGGGAAGAGAGGCATGGAAGAGTGTGGTCCCCGAAGCCACAGTGACGGCGTCCATACACGTTCATGGTGAGAAGGTCATCTGAGAGAAGTTACCAAGAAGAAAGGTCTGATGGGTTTGCATTCCTGTCCCTTTGGACTCTTCGGAGCCTGGAGGTCACAGTGAACTCTTAAATCCAACTGATTTATGCCTTTCAGATTGCTGTTTGGTGGCCAGAGGTCTGTCTGCATATGCTCAGACCATGATCACCCTAGGTGCTTCAGACTTGGTAGTGACTTAGTTGTAACTTCAAACTGGTAGTGACTTAGTTGTGACTTCAAACTGTTCAAAGTCCTTGGTGTAACACAGGGAGTTTTAAAGCCCTTTGAATGAAAGTTTGAGGTAAAATATAGAAATAAAGAACTTGACGCTCCACGTTTTGTCCTCCTTAGCAGGTTCTGTACTTTAATACAATTTTGTTTTAGATATTTGCAGAAACTCAATTTTTTAAAAAGTTTTCTATTATGAGAAATCTCATCCCTACCACACCCTCCCTTTCTTTGGCATGTGACTTCCGTAACTATGGCAGTTGTGCTGACCTTACATCTCTTAGTTTCAACTCCCTTTTGATTTCCTGCACTTAATGTTGGTGTGTGGTTGCCATCTGACCCTTCTTTTTCTCTCCTTTTTAGTCATACCCGTTACTGTGTCACTTCTTTGCTTTTGAGTTTGTGTAAATACAGCTGTCCCCTGATACCCATGGAGGACTGGTTTCAGGACTCCTGCAGATAATGAAATCCTCAGATGCTCCTGTCTCTTATATGAAATGGCATAGTATTTGCATAGAACCATGCACACCCTCCCACATACCTTAAATCATCTCTAGAGCATTTATAATACCTAATACAATGTAAATAAATGCTATGAAAACAGTTGCTGGGAACATGGCAAGTTCAGGTTTTGCTCTTTGTAACATCCTAGAACTCCTTCACCCCAAATGTTTCCCATCTGAGGTTGGTTGAATCTGCAGATGTGGAACCCCTGTATATGGAGGACGGACTATACACGGGCAACCTCTGTCAGGGTCAACCCTTTCCAAAGAAAGGGATTCCTTTGAGTCTCTTTCTTTGTTCGCTGGTTCTGAGCCAAGCTCTAGTCTCTGAAGACAGATTCTTTCTGGGTCATGTACTCATTGTACCAAAAGGTATTTGTGCTCCAGCAGAGAATCCAACCTATAAGATTTTAGTTTCCATTTTCTTCTCAAAAGAGCAAACCTGTCACTTCTAGTTGCCAGTGACCTTGATGAATATAAATGATAACTGGAAATTCCTCTTTTCCATTAAAATCCACAAAGCAATTAGATTGGGATATCCACTTTTCACAGTTACTCTTTGAATTTACTGTATTGAGCTTCAGCATACAGATAATTAACTATGGTTGTGATTGAGAGGAGTCATTTATTGCCTCAGCTAGACTGTCTGTATTGAATGCTCTGTGCTCTGTTCTCTCTCGATTCCCCAAGTAATGGCTATTCTCTCAAATTATGGTTTCCATTCCAAGATGACTCTTCTAGTATTTAGCTCTTCTTCATATTGCAACTTGTAGGGATTATATTTTTAACAACGCTGTTTTCATTTCCTTTGTACTTGTTCCGGAGCTTTTTCTCCTATTCTAGAAAATAATCATTGCCCACTATCTAGAAAACTATCTTTTAATCTTCTGATTAAAGATTGCTTAATGATAGTGTCTATTTCTTTGGCTGGTGGCATGTTTTTCTTTGTTTTAACACTGGAGTTTCTGCATGGATTTATAATACGAGCTTTTTTTTTTTTTTTAACATTAGATAGGCATGAAGCCTTCGTCTCACAGCTGCATGTGTAGTTACTGTCGAAGCAATGCCTACCTAATTTGACAGTCGTGGTGTGTTAAAAAAAAATTTTGAGTTTGCAAATAAGCGTATTAAGTCTACTGATGGAGCCTTCGGGCAGTGAACAGTTATTTGAGGACCCTGATCCCGGAGGCAAATCCCAAGATGCAGAGGCCAGAAAGCAAACAGAATCAGAACAAAAGTTATCTAAAATGACCCACAATGCTTTGGAGAACATTAACGTGATTGGCCAAGGCTTGAAGCATCTCTTCCAGCACCAGCGCAGGAGGTCGTCTGTGTCTCCCCACGATGTGCAACAGATTCAGGCAGACCCAGAGCCTGAAATGGATGTGGAAAGCCAGAACGCGTGTGCTGAGACTGATGGTGTCCCCACCCACCCCACAGCTCTGAATCGTGTCCTGCAGCAGATCCGCGTGCCGCCCAAGATGAAGAGAGGGACGAGCCTGCATAGCAGGCGGGGCAAGCCAGAGGCCCCGAAGGGAAGTCCACAGATCAACAGGAAATCTGGCCAGGAGATGGCAAGCGTCATGCAGTCCGGCCGACCCAGGTCTTCATCCACTACCGACGCTCCTTCCAGCTCCGCCGTGATGGAAATAGCTTGTGCCGCTGCCGCTGCTGCTGCGTGTCTGCCAGGGGATGAGGTGTCTGCAGAGCGGGTGAGTTTCTGTTAGATTACTTGTTAACTTCTTGTGCTTTTTATCTAGTACTCTGCAGACTTTGCCCGGGTGACTGAAAAGAAGTATCTCATCAAGTACCCCGAGGCTGTGGCCAAAGATCGTTTCCCTTTTCATTAAATAAGTGGGATGAATAGTAATCGTCATAGCTAATAATGAATGCTTCTAATTATATTCCTGTTTGCTTCCTAACATATTGCCTCAGATGATTCCAGTGCAGTCAGCCCATGAGTTTTAAGAATTACTGAATCCAAATTTCTGGAGCCCAGTCACCCGAGTCAGCAAGCTTAGAGCTATCTGGACCGCTCCTGTTCTTTAATGATGTGATCCCTGAGGTTGCCCCCATTCTTCATTCCTAAATCAGTGCCCTAGTTTAGGCCTTCATCTGTCTCACTGCCCTTTCGCATTCTTTTTTTCTCCATGCTGGAGACAGCTTGTGAGAGCTATCTGAAATACTAAACAAGTCATTGTCATTTCCACTGCTTAAAAAGCCATCACTGGCTCCATCATTTCCTGAGGGGCAAGAAAGTTCCTTAAAATGATAGGCAGGCCCTCCCATGATTTAGCCCATGTGGACTTCTTTACCTCCTACAACTTAGCAGCTAGTACTCCTTTCTCACGCTTTTTATTTTTCCTCTAAAGTTTTTCCTTTTTTCCGTATCTTGACTTACGCTTTCATTCAGTCATTCGTTCAGCAAACATATAAGAAGATGTTCCAGTCACTGTGGATACTGTGATGAACAGAAAAGATGTGATCCTTACTCTCATAGAGTTTATTTTCAGATGGGGACACATATTAAATAATCACTTGAGCAAATCTAAAGTTTCAACCGTGGCACATGCTACTAGAGCCTATTATAGGAACTTATGACCTAGTTAAGGATGTCACTTCTGTGAGGAAATGACAAAGATCTGGAGGGTAAGCTGAGGTAATTAGGTGATGGAGTGAGAACCCCAGGTGCAAAGGTGCTAAGATGGAAGGACGTTTACTGAGTTTGAGGGATGGGATGGCAGGTGTGTGTGCGTGTACATGCAAGTACACAGTGGGTAAGGCTGGAGAGAGAGAGGAAGGGGTTCATACGGAGAAAGTTTGCAGACAGTGCGAAGGAGTTTTTCTCCATGTAAGAGGAATGAGTATTATCAAAGCATTTTAAGCAAAGGGGACAGTTTCACCTCTGTGATTAGAAAATGTCACTGTGTTTATGGTGTGAAGAGTGGATTGGACTGGTTTCAGGTGGGATGCAGATAGATGAGCCGGAAGGCTGTCTTGTCCAGGTGAGAGATGACAGTAGTTTGGATCGAAGACGTGATAGTGGGAGCAGAAAGAAGAATTACCTGAGGGCAGGGGTGTGTCTTACTCCTCATGCCAATCCTTTGGGCTTCCTAGGTGGCTCAGTGGTAAAGAATCCGCCTGCCATTGCAGGAGATGCAGGATCGATCCCTGAGTCAGGAAGATCCCCTGGAGGAGGAAATGGCAACCCACTCTAGTATTCTTGCCTGGAGAATCCCATGGACAGAGGAATCTCGAGAGCTAACAGTCCTTGGGGTCGCAAAGAGTCAGACACAACAGAGCGACTGAGCATGCATCCAATACTTTGGCCCTTGGATTATTGGTTTGATAAATTAGTAGTAAATAGATAGGGAGCAAGAAACGATATCTAGTTAGGGAGTTTGAGAATGTACATGGAGAAGTTTTTGAAATGGAGTAATCTTTCATTTAATTATTCATCAATACTTATTAAATGCCAACTATGTAGTAGGCAGTTTCATTATGGAGGCTTACTCTGTATTGAAGGAGATAACATACGATAGATATAAAAAAAGAATAATATGTTACGATGAAAGGTGATGAGTATTATGGGAAGAAAAGAACAAAATTAGAGAAAGAGATTAGGGGTGTGTACAGAGGGGAGGGGAGGGGAGTTGCAGTATAAGGTAAGGTAAGCCTCATTGAGAAAGTAACCTTTGAGTGAAGACTTGAGGAGATGAAGAAATTAGTCATGAGGCTGGCTGTCTGGGGGATGAGTACTCAGGCGGATGAAATAACTCCAGGGTAGGAGCTGACATTCCCTGCCTGACGTGTCCAGGGAATAGCAAGACCAGTGTGGGAAAGCTGAGTGAGGGGGGACAGTAGTAAGATGGTGTCAGAGAGGTCACAGGTGGCCAGACTGGGGAGGGCTTCATAGTGATGTCTCTGTTTAGACACTCTTCCATTATATCTTTATAAGATACTGTGGGATCGGAGACGTTTTCCCCCGTGTTTGCTCACGCATCTGTTCAGTGACTGTTACACTGACCTGCCATTGTTCTAGGTTAGGGATCTGCGCGTGGCTTCTGTGCGCGGTCACTGTAAGTGTTGTCCACCATACGGTCTGTCTGGCAGCTGCTCAGCTGTGTCGGGGTGTGAAAGCAGCCACCCACAGTATGTATGCGAGTGGGCGTGCCGGGCTGCGGCTGGTGAACACTGTCCCGGCCTCGGCCCATACTTTGCCCACCACAGTCTTAGGCGCTGAAAACATATGAGTGGATCAAACAAACAAAAATACTTGCTCTGGAGAAGTTTAAAAGGAGGTAAGCAAAACATGTAAGTAAAGTGCATGATATGACAGTTGCGTAAGAAGATAAAGATTTCTAGGGAGGGAAGTTTTAAGCAGAGTGGTCAGGGAAGACTTCACTGATACACAGGCAGAGACCTGAAGGATGCGAGGGAGAAGCCCAGACCTCTGAAGGGAGACCTGGCGAAGGAGCAAAGGGGACGGTCCCAAAGGACTGTACTATGAGGAAATGTAATGGAAGTTGGAATTTTTTTTGGCATTGTTAAAGGGGAGGAAATGATAGTGCACGTCAAGGCCGTAAGCTGTAGCCACCCGTCTGCCGTGCCTGATGGGTGAGGAGCAGTACTTGAAACAGTTCTTATTAATGAGAATTTGATCTGTATGTCTTACTTAAACTTAGGTTGTATGGTCTAAGTGTTAGTACTTTTCAAAAAAACAAAAGTGAACCGAATCAAGAGCTTACTGACTTTATTTGACCACTCATGAATTGGGCAGCATTCAGTCTGAGCAAATAGAAACGAACTCTGAAGAGCTGTACAAAATGAAAGACTTCTAGGCAGAAGGGAGCAGGAACAAGGAAGTTCAGTCAGTTCTGTTCAGTTCAGTCGCTCAGTCGTGTCTGACTCTTTGCGACACTCATCCAAAAAGCGTGTTGGTTATTGCTAGGTTACTCTCCCTACAGAGGATGGCAAGGGTTACCTAACTAATGCTAATCAGCAGTTCCTGGTTGGCTGGTTTGAGTCCATTTCTGGGAGAGGCAAAAAAGTGTAATTTAGTTGTCAGTTTGATGGCGTGAGGATTAGCATAAGCGACTCCATTTGGGGCCTACTGTGTTTTGTTTTTTTAAATAAACTTACTGTGTTTATATGTAGCTTTTAAAATAGTCATGTCAAGTGGCCTTGTCAAAGGTGTAGACTAAAACCCATTCTTTCTCATTCAGTAACAAATAGCTTGTAGACTTAGAGTATGTGAATTTCCCAGGGTTTATAAATAAGGAACACTACCCTCTGCAGTAAATTACTGCAGGATGGCATTCTCTTTGTTCAAATGAAAGGGAGGTTTGTAAAATTGAGTTAATTGAACCGTGTGCAAAACCAGAAAGCCTAGGTATAATGTTCTACCAAAGGGGAAAGAAACGAGGTGATGGGAAGGATAATTCCTGTTGCTGGCCACAAGGTGGTACCCCTAGACCAGGAGAAATAGATGGAAGTGAGGAGATGACTCTTACTGTGACAGGCCATTGATAATGAAGGAATTACACCTTGAGAAGTGACTCGTTCAGGGAGTTGTTAGGATATGGGCTAGATTGAGAAGTGGCTATCATACGTAGTAGTAGTAGTACTGAACTGCTGAATTTAAAATACTGAACTGAATTGGTAACTGTGGAAATGGAATTGACAGTAGAAGAGTGGGTAGAACTTATTGACAATGTTAAAATTAAAAATAGAGATATTGTTGTATGGCCGAAATCAACACAAATTATAAAGCAATTATCCTCAATTAAAAATAAAAATAAGAAAAAATAAAGTGTCTTCCCTGGTGGTCTGGTGGCTGTAACTCCAGGCTCCCAATGCAGTGGGGTCTGGGTTCAATCCCGGGTCAGGGAACTGGATCCCATATGCTGTAACTAAAGATCCCATATGCTGTAGCTAAAGATCCCATATGCCACAGCTGAGACCCAGTGCAGCCAAATAAATAAATAAATACTTTTTAAAATAATTAAAGATAAAATTGAAAGTCCTAAAGTCTGCTTGGGAGAACTAGTAAAATAATGTCTGTTTTTCTAAAAACAAAAAAGTTGAAAATTGTATTTTTTAAATGAAAACCAATAGAGATCTTTCTCGTTTGTGTATTTAGTGTTAGTTTGGTAGCTGATGCTATCAAGGAAATGATATGGGGTGGAAAAGTAGGAATAAATGAGACATGAAGATGTGTTTTGACTTTTCAGTTGTTCTCTAGTAAAGGTACTTTATAGAACAAAACTTGTATGCCAAAGGAAGTAACTTTTAGGCTTATTGACCCTAACTCAGAGGTCTAGAATGTGTGAAATGAAGTGAAGTGAAAGTCGCTCAGTCGTGTCCGACTCTTTGCAACCCCATGGACTATACAGTCCATGAAATTCTCCAGGCCAAAATGCTGGAGTGGTAGCCTTTCCCTGCTCCAGGGGACCTTCCCAACCCAGGGATCGAACCCAGGTCTCCCTCTTTGCAGGTGGATTCTTTACCAGCTGAGCTACAAGGAGGTCCAGAATGTGTATGTTTGTTTTAATGCAGTATGTTTCTGCCTGATCTACAAGATACCTTTATTATCCTTAATGATCTTATGCTAACTTTTAATATGATTGTCCTAAGAGTGGAATTGAAGATGTAGCTAGGATGTTCTTGACCTTGGTAGACTTACCAGGCACAGTTATCATCATAAGGATGT